ACCCACTGCTTTGTGGCAATCTCCTCCAAGGTGATTTACTGCCTCTGAAAACCTGCTGGAGGATCAGCTTATAGAGTTGGTTCTGACTTGAGAGTATACAACAAAAACATGCACTAAGAGGGTTATTTTCTCTTTTGTAGATGCAAATATTACAATGCCAGAGAAAATTGGAATTTTCTTCCAAGAACTGGTGTCTCTTCCAGGGTGACAGCCAGTTGCTCTTTGTTTTATGGGAAAATGGCAGCCAACAAGTAAAATGACTCTTTAAGTTGTTAGAGGGTAGAACACAAGAGAGAACTATGTATACTTGTGCTCTTTACATAGAGAATGTGGGAAGGTACCAAGACAGACACAAAGGCTTAAAAAATGGTAATTTATACAATTGCCACATTTATGAGTGAAGTGAGAAAATTTCTAGACTAAGAAAAAAACCCAGAAGACTGAAATATTACTTGTTATTTAAGTGCTGTCTAGTTGTGTGTGACTCATGGAGACCCTATGAACAATGGCTCTGAACCTTGCCCACACCTGACCCTACTGCCACAGTAAGTGCCAAGCCATTTCATCCAGGGCATTCCTCTCTTACACTGATCCTCAAACCTTCCAAGCATGACGGCCTCTCCAATGACTGGTCCTTCCTGACAACATGCCTAAGGTATATGAGATGGAGTTTCAGAATCCTTGCCTCCCAGGAGTAACTTGGTTTCACTCTTTCCAGGACAGACCTGTTCATTTTCTTGGCAATATTTATTATGTTCAGTACTTTTCTCCAAAACCACAACTGAAAGGCATTGATTATTTTCCTGTAACCTTTATTCACTGTCCAGTTCTCAGAAGCATAGCAAGCAATTAAGAAGACCATGGCTTGGATCAGACTGCTCTTAGTGTTTATTTAGACCGTCATCGTTGCTCTTCACTATTCTACAGAGTCCCTGGCAGCAGATTTTCCCAGTGCAACTCATCTTTTGATTGCCTGACTACTGGTGCCAAGGGTGTTGATTGTGGATCTGAGCAAGATGAAATTTATAACAAACTTCCATCTTCTCTCCAACTATCATGATGTCTCCTATTGGCCCAGTAGTGAGTTTTGTTTTCTTGATGTTAAGGTGCAGTCCCTATTGAAGGCTGCAGTCCTTGATCTTCTGCAGCAAGCACTCAGGTCCTCCTCAGTTTCACAAACAAGGGTGTGTCATCTGCATAACGCAGGTTGTTGGTGAGTCTTCCTCCAATCCTGATGCCACATCCTTAAAAGTCCAGCCTTTCAAAACAATCTGTTCAACATACAGATTGAAAAGGTAGGGAGAAATGATATGTCTCTGAGCCGCTCCTGTCTTGATTCTGAACTATGCATTGTTCGTTTGTTCAGTTTGGACAACAGCTTCTTGGTCTAGGTCAAGTTTCACATGAGCACAATTAAGTGTTCTGGGATTCCCATTCTTCTCAATGTTAGCCACAATTTGTTGTGATCTACATTTTATTCATATATATACACACACACACACACATAAATATAGACACACAACACTATATAATTAGTACTATTTAGTATCTGTGCATGGTCAATAAAATACAGATATCATTCTATTACTCTCCTTTTAGCCAAGATCTGATATTGGCAATGAGACCTTTAGTACCATGGCCTCTTCTAAACCCTAAATGCAGCTTGTGTTTCTGGTAGTTCTATAATTTTTAGATAATCTTAAGCAAGATTTTGCTTTCATGTGATATTGATATATATAATTTTACATTCTGTTGGATCACCTTTTTTAGGAATGGGAATAAATATGGATCTCTTCCAGTCAGCCAGCCAGGTAGCTGTCCTACAGATTTTGCAAAAGATATTTTCCTCTTAAATGTTCTGGAGTCCCTCTCACCTACACGATATAAACCTCACAATACAACACTACCTTCACAATCTTTGTCATTTTCACTGGGCTGGTTTCTACATTTATAATCTGGGAAGTGACATGTCTTGAGGTTTAATGAGCAGAATGGTTAAATCATCAACCAAAGCACCTGACATCCATTTGCTCAGACATAAAGGCACACTATAGGACTAATTATATAGTTATCAGTTGGAGGGGAAGGGGGTAAGAATCATAGGCAATGTAGAACCTTTGGGGTCCAATCATATTTTTTCTAGTGTGTGGTAGATTTGGGGGGGGTAAGCTTAATAAGGAAGTCTAAAACTACTTTTATTTTTTTCATCACCCCATAATTCCTTTGTTGTATGCTATCACGTTAGATCTGATCCATAGCTAGCCCACCAACAGGTTTTCAGAGGCAGGAAATTTGCACAGGAGGAGATTACCCATCCTGCAGAGCAGCCAGTAGATTAGAACTGCATGCTTTGGGGTTGGCAGCACAACTCTGTACCATTAGACCACCATAGTGTCCTATAATTCCTTTGGATCTCTTCATTACTATTTTGTTACAGGCAGTATTTCACTGAAGAAGAAAGTACTTTTATATTATTTAAACAGACTATAGGATGTTGTGGTTCAGGCCTTTGTGGTGACATTATTTCCAAAACACCTAAGATCTGGTTTTTGTCCTCAACAGTAACCACAGAGAGCGTGTCAGTGAGGCCCGAGAAGAGCTAACAAATGCTAGAATACTAGCAGATGAGCTCAGAGGTGCAGTTTTACTGGTGTTTTTACATAAACATGACTCCCCAGCTCTATGAATGCTGCAGAGATAACAGACGAGCTTAGCCTATATTCCCTTAGCCTGAGAAACTAATACATTCAGGCTATTTGTGCCACCAGTGGAGATAGACTTTAACAAAGGCCTGGGCTGGCTCTCCAACCAGCTCAAAACCAAGAAGTGACTGGTCAGCAGTGATCCATTCCCCATGCATTTTGGCAAAGTCCACAGGCCTCTTCTATGTGCCAAGAAGCGGGAGCAGCTTTCTCACATTGTGTCTTAACACACGCTGTATGAAGTCTAACATCTGACGAAAAACCAGTGTTAAATTTTTAAATGCTATTTTCCATCTTAATGGCTTTGGACGATCATTTCACAGTTGAGTTCTGAGGGCTTGCTGGTGATACCAGAGGCCCCTTCAAGGCAGAAGGCAGAGTGGGAGTGCAGACAGGCTTGGGTGCCAACTAGAATGAATAGAGGCTTAAGGTTACTCAAAAGGCACTTTTGGGGGGAAAAAATTTGTATTTTCTTTGTAAAAAATAGCCATTGAGAAGCCTCTGCAACACATTTCTCTGACATAACTGTACCCAGAATCAATAATGGTAACGGATTTTATGTAAAAAAGAAAGGGTTTCATGTTGATAAAGTTGATTCCGTCTAAGACTTAAAACTAGCTATTATTATGGAAAAACTGGTTTTTATTATGGAAAGTTTCAAAATAATTGATTAGTTCAAAGTGCTAGGTGGCTATGCTTTCAAGGTTTCTTGACTTTTGAAGGAGCAAAGTAACACTTCCAAGTTGGAAGACTTTTCCTTGATTTTGAAAGAAAACATTTAAAAACCCCTCCTCACATTCTTCCAATAACTATAAAGAAAGATGATGATGAAACACTGCCTGGTCCTGCACCATCCCTGTAACTAGTCGACTGGAGCCCACTGCGGAAGTCACTGTTTCGGTCCATCTTGCTGAGGCTCTTTTTTTACCAACTATGACGTCCTCCAAGGACTGGCTCCTCTAGTAATGGTAAGTGCATGCATCTGGACTTCAAAGTTAACAAGAAGTTGGAGAATAGACAAGATTTTCACCATTCCCATTAAATTCTCCATTTAAAGGAAATCTGAAGGAATTATGGGATGAGGAGAAAAATGGGAGAGTAATATTAAACTTCTTTATCCATCTGGTCTCACAAATGCACCATTCAACCAAAAGACCAGAAAAGATCAAAGTAGGCCTCAAGAAAGGAGATTTTACCATCGCTTACATCCCTACTCCGGCTCATCCAATCAGTAACAAAATGACTTTTTTTTTTAAAATCCTAAAACAGATATACCTAATTTTATTTCTTAAATTTTGGTACTGATTTTTCCTTGGATACTTAACCCATTATATGCAAAACATAGTGCCATTATTTGAAAGTCATAAACTATATCACTATTCTTTATATTTTCTTTGAAGAATTCAATTTTTCAGTACCAAGTATCTGAGTATATAGAAAGTTAACATGTTTATGCACATTATCTAATTCTTAAAACCCTATAAGGATATCTAGCAATTACTCTTTAAATCGAAGAGGAAAACATTTGATAAAGTGGTCTCTTTTAAAAACACTTTATTAAGATATTTGTCACAAATTAGGAAAAAGCTTATTTACCAATAAGAAGAAAATTAAAAAACCACCCCACTTGACAATTCTCATGAAAAGCACCGATAAGAATCTGGCAACATAACTGATACTGATAAAACACCAGTGCTCCTGATCTCCATTTCTTTCAAGCTATATACTCAGGCCACACTCAAAACTTCGTAACTTCATGAAGCATTTTAAATCCAGTAACATCTGAAACAATACACAGGACTGGCTGCTCCTCTATCGCCTGCATCCACATGTACATCAGTATAATTCATCAAACACAAATCTTCTCAAGAAAAATAGAGGTTAACATTTAAGTGTTCTCTAGTAAAAACATAAGATTTAATGTTATATAGATAACATTTATAGCATATAAATATATATGAAATAAAAAGTCATACGAAAGGAGAAAAAAAAAATCACAAAATAATCTAAAATCCAAGTGTCCCTTCTTCCATGCCGAATCCCACAGTGACCACGGAGGACAGGAACTTCCCAGTGGGCTTTCCAAGGCTGGCACTTCTTTGAAGCAGACTGCTTCGTCCTTCTCCCTCGAAGCAGTTGTCAAGTTCAAACTGCTGGCCTTTTGGTTAAAATCCAGGTGCTTTATTCACTGTACCACATGGCTCTCGTTTTATTTTAAACTTCATACAGCTTCAAATGTCCAACAATATTTAAAGGCTTTTTTTATATAGTCTATAATATATACAGCCTCGTTTCATTTCATGAAAGAAATGTACGAACAGTACCCTTGATGATCCCTCTGCAAATAGGGCATTTTCTGAGAGAAGGGGCACATTCCTGACACACTACCAGATGACCACAAGGAATAAATACAATTGAAACCTCTTTGTCCATACAAACTTTACATGTTCTCTCTTCTTGCAGCCTTCTCAATTGTTCTTCCAAGGACAGACCTATGAACAAAAACTTGAGTAAAATGTAGCTTTCATTTTACCTCTCATTAAATAAATAAATAAGGGTAACATCATCTGACTGTAGAAGACCAAAATGGATGTCAGAAGAAACTCTGAAGATTGCACTGAAGTGCACTAAGAAGCCAAAGCACAAGGAAGAATTCAAGATACTAAAGACCTGAACAGAAGATTCCAAAAGGCAGCACGGGATGACAAAGCAAAATATTACAATGAAATGTGCAAGGAGCTGGAGTCAGAAGATCAAAAGGGCCGAACTCGTTCAGCATTTCTTAAGCTCAAGGAACTGAAGAACAAATTCAAACCTCTAGTTGCTATAATCAAGCATGCTTTAAGCAGAATATTAAATGATCCAGAAAGTATTAAAAGAAGATGGAAGGAATATACTGAGTCACTGTATCAAAAGGAATTGGCAGACACAAGAATTTCATGAAACAACACATAAGCAAGAGCCTATGGTGATAAAGGAAGAAGATCAGGCTGCTTTGAAGGAAATAGCAAAAAATAAGGTCCCAGGAATAAATGGTATACCAGTTGGTGTATTTCAGCTAACAGATGCTGCCATGGATGTGTTCACCAAGTTGTGCCAAGAAATGTGGAGAACAACCACTTGGCCAACTGACTGGAAGAGAACTATATTTGTTCCCATTCCAAAGAAAGGTGACCCAACAGAGTGTGGAAACTATAGAACAATATCATTGATTTCACATGCAAGTAAGATTCTGCTGAAGATTCAGCACATCAGCAGAGAACTGCCAGAAGTCCAGGCTGGGTTTAGAAGGGGTCGTGGTACTAGGGATATTGTAGCTAATGTTAGGTGGATCTTAGCTGAAAGCAGGGAATACCAGAGGAATGTATATCTCTGTTTCATTGATTATGCAAAGGTGTTTGACTGTGTGGATCATAACAAACTGTGTCTGACTCTGAGAAGAATGGGAATCCCAGAACACTTGATCATGCTAATGTGAAACCTATACTTGGATCAAGAGGCAGTCATCAGAACAGAGCAAGGGAACACTGCATGGTTCAAAATTGGGAAGGGCATACGCCAGGGATATGTCCTGTCTCTATACCTTTTCAACCTGTATGCAGAACAGATTATCCGAGAGGCTGGGCTCTATGAGGAGAAGTGTGGCCTCAGGATTGGTGGAAGATCTATTAACAATCTGCGTTATGCAGATGGCACTACCCTGCTTGCTGAAACTGAGGAGGACCTGAAGCGCTTGCTGCAGATGGTCAAGGACTGCAGCCTTCAGTATGGATTGAAGCTCAATGTCAAGAAGTCAAAAGATTCTCACCCCTGGACCAAGTGGCAGCATCAAGATGGATGGTGAAGAGATTAACAACTTTAGTCTGCTTGGCTCCACAGTCAACACTCTTGGCACCAGTAGCCAGGAAATCAAAAACGTACTGCAATGGGAAAGTCTGCTGTTAGGGACCTCTCCAAATTACTGAAGAGCAATGGTGTCACTCTGGAGACTAAGGTGCGTCTGATACAGGCTATGGTCTTTGAAATCACTTGTTATGTATCAGAGAGTTGGACAATGACGAGGGAGGATAGAAGGAGAATTGATGCCTTTGAGCTGTGTTGCTGGATAAGAGTATTGAATGTACCATGGACTGCTAAGAAAACAAACAGATTCATCCTGGAGAGGGTTAAACCTGGCTGCTCCTTGGAGAGAAGGATTCTGGAGCTTTGTCTGACATACTTTGGGCATGCTGCAAGGAGGGACGGGTCCTTGGAGAGGGACATCATGTTTGGGAGAGTGGAGGGACAGCGCAAGAGGGGAAGACCCTCTATGAGGTGGATTGATTCAGTGACTGGGGTAATCGGGATGGGTGTGTCAGAGGCAGTGTGATTGGCACAGGATAGAGCAGGGTTTAGGGCTGTTGTACATAGGGTCACTATGAGTCACAAGCAACTCAACAGCACAAAATAACAATAAGGGTAACATGTCAATTAGGTTTAAAGTGTTAATTTTGTTTACCTGAAACATCTTCTGTTGGAATATACTTCATATTCTTTTCCACTGAGGAAAGAAAACACATAAACATCAATCTACTATGTACAAAGCTACTTCACCTAATACTTTCCCTCTATTTCTAGTCAATAATTTACTTTCTCACTAAATATTATCAACAATTGTTACATTTAGCCTTACTTCCTGAGCAATAAATGATTTCACTGTTTTTTACAAGTTAAAGATTATAATTTGTTACATTTTTTGTATAGGTAGACATGAACATAATCCTAAAGAACTTCCAGGTAAAAGTTTTCTCTACAAACTCACCAAATAAGTTCCTATATAACGTAGAATCAATTCCTCTTAGACAGTTTTTGAAGATATTAGCTGCAGAATTTCCTTTAACTAAAATGGTATCGATCAGTTCTCTTGCTTGTAAAGGTATCTGTGTTTTTTGTTTAATAATGTCATGCTCCTGTTTATTGATTACATTGGCTGTTAAGAGATTATCCAAGATAGGACGTACACACGTCAGTTGTTGAAAGAGAGCCATTCTGTTCTTCCGAATTAATGACAAGTCATCTTCATGAAAAGAAAAAGAATCATTAGATTTTAAACTTTTCCAACATATGTGTAAAACAAGCAATCTTACAATATAGTCAATCAGGTGAGCTCTGGTGGCCTGGTGGTAAGAAGCTGCACTGCAATCCTGGACAGAGGTGTGCGGTTCGAATCCACCAGATGCTCTGCTGGAGAAGGAGGAACAATCTCCTCCTGTACCAGTCAGATCTGATTTGACGGTACACACACACAAATAATAAAAAATTTTTTAAAAACCCCATAATTAATATGCTGCCACAAATGACGGCTATAGCCATCCTGTACATTTTAATTAATTTTCACTTCCAAACACAGGAGTGACGCTCAATTTCATATGGCATTCATAAACAATTGAAAAAAATGTGTTTCTAAGCACAGTCATCAATTTAAAAGTGTGTGGCAACATGCTAAGTAAAAAACTAAATCACCAAAATCCCACTGCCACCATGTTGGCCCAACTTGTAGCAACCCTTCATTGAACCTCCCAGGCAGCAAATCTCCAGAGAGACTACCCATCGTTTGTATATGGAGCAGCTGCTGGATCTGAATTACCGACCTTCAGTTAGCAGAGGGACCCACTAGAAACCACACCAGGCCTGCTTAGCCATTAAATGAGAACTTGAAAACCAAAATTACTTGTTTGCACATTAATATTTGTTATTTAGAAAGTTTCCAGGAGATTTAGCTAAGCTATAATTACTATATATGGTGTCTCTCTTTCTGCAATTTAATGTTTACATATTTGTAGGAGTGATGCTACAAACCCAAGCAATACATGCCCATCAACATGAGCTGCTGCAAGGGAGAAAGAAGGGTGGTTTATCTCACTCTGGTTTACAGCCTCAGAATCCCAACTAAGGGCCACCATGGAAGCTCCACTGCCAACCCAAAGGCAGGCAGTTTGAATCCAGCTGCTCTGAGACAGAAAGATGGGCACTCTCTTCCCATGTGATCTATAGCTGGTGGGTCGGCTATGACTTGGTTCTGACTTAAGGGCATTCAACAATGAGTCAGAACTGACTCAAAAGCAGTGAGCTGGACATATTTACATCTGTTACACTGACATCAGGGACATATTACATCTCTGCAGAGAATTTCAGAAGACAGAAAAGATTTATCACTTGTTTAATCTTCCCCATGAATAATACTGACAGTGATGTGCCAATCGTGGTAATGGGCACCCATGGTGGACAGTGTTGGCTAGAGCCCCCGACTAAATCAAGCCTGGAAGCAGGAGCGGCATCCACTTCCGAAATGGCTTGCCTCTGGAAACTCTATGTACGAACAGTGCTCAGGCTGTTCATTCATAGCGTCGCGATGAGTCGTCTACAACTTGACGGCATTAAACAACAACAACATATTTGGATTATGGGAAGCCCTGATGCCATAACCCCCACAGGGGTTGCTGTGCAAAAGCAAAGGCCAAACCCCTCTGATGGTTGAATCCACCAGTGGCTCCACAGGAGAGGGATGGGCAATGTCTTCTTGTGCAATTCACAGCTTCAGAAAACCAATGGTGGGTCAGGATTAATCTGTTCCAATGTGACAGCAACAACTGAGTGAGTGAATGTGACTTAGATTCATTGTATTACTTCAGTTTTATAAGCATTTACTAAAAATGATCCCATTTGATACAACAGTCTTGTCAAGGCAAGTATAACTGCCTATTTTCAGATACGGACTAAGATGATGATGTTCTATGCCATCGAGTCAGAACCGACCCATAGCTGAACCTCCAGCTGGTTTTCAGAGGCAGTAAATCACTGCATGCATGGGAAAGTCTGAACTGTCTGCTTTAGGGATTGCAGTGCAGCTTCTTACCAGTGGGCCGTAAGGACTAATCCACCCATGGTCACAGAACAAGCTGCAGAAAAAGTCTTCTAAATGTGCGTGCGTGCGTGTGTGTGTGTGAGAGAGAGAGAGAGAACGAAAACATAATATACAGAAAACACAGCATACAAGGCCTGCTTCCAGTCCACTCATTTTAGAAATAATGGTCAGTGAAGTCAGTTACATTCTTCATAAGCCAGTGTTCTTCTCAACACCTCCAACAAAAAGCAGCAGCACCGTAGTGTTGGACAACTTCAACTGTGAAGTCAAGGCTGACTTAAGTTCTAATCCTGACCTCACCACCTACTAGCTAAATGCTCGCACCCTCTTAGCTTTGGCTTCTTCATCTGTCAAGTAGAAAGAACACCTTCCTCAAAATGCTGTGATATTGAACAATCCCGAAACCACTTATAATATCTGACACATATTTAACTCGATTACTATTAAAAATAAACCTATCTTTATACCAATTTTTCAAACAACACAAATTAAGCATAAACTCTAAGAAACTCAGTGTTACTTTCTTCACTTCCAAATCATAAACTCAAAAAGTTATTTTCCTACATTCATGAAATATAAGCTTGAATTTTTGAAGTATATTTCATCCTTCTTCGTTTTTCAATACCTGTTAATTGTGGTTTTAGCACCTCACCAGGAAAAAAAAGGGAAAACACTGCCTTAGTGAAAAAATTTTCAAAAAAATCTTCCTTTTTTTCTTTTTCTAGAATTAATTTCATTTCAAAACAATGACATTATTATCTGATTACAACTTACACCTTTTGGGAGCTATGGTGGCCTAGTGGCAAGAAGCTGCACTGCAATCCCAGAGGTATGCAGTTCAAATCCTCCAGATGCTTTGCTGGAAAAGGAAGGGCAATCTCCTCCTGTACCAGTCAGATCTGATTTGACGGTACACACACACAAAATAATAAAGAGAAAAAATTTAAAAAAACAAAACACCTTACACCTTTCTACACTTATAATTCCCTTTACTACTAACAAATTTGTTCTTTGCTTTCTTCAAAATTTCCAGATTATTCCCAATATCAAGAGACAGTATCTAAGTATCTAAGATGATGATGTTCTATGCCATCGAGTCAGAACCGACCCATAGCTGAACCTCCAGCTGGTTTTCAGAGGCAGTAAATCACTGCATGCATGGGAAAGTCTGAACTGTCTGCTTTAGGGATTGCAGTGCAGCTTCTTACCAGTGGGCCGTAAGGACTAATCCACCCATGGTCACAGAACAAGCTGCAGAAAAAGTCTTCTAAATGTGCGTGCGTGCGTGTGTGTGTATCTGTCTCTTCACTATTATGTCCCTACTTCTTATTTTGCCTTCCCCCTCATTAGTCTTCTCACATCCCTAATTCAAGACTATCTTTCTAACACATACCCATATAAGTCACAAAACTAAGAACACTGCATTTATTTGGATGGTTGGTCATACTATTTGTTGTTGTGTTTTATTGAGTCAGAACCAATTCACACCTACCTCTACTGGGTTTTCAGAGGCAGTATTGGAAGCAGGAGTGGCATCCACTTCCTAAACAACATGCCTCTGGAAACTCTATGAACTTTGATAAACGGTGATGGCTGTAGCGGGGCTTCAGGCCTTTTGTTCATAGGGCCAATATGAGTCGTGCTCAACTTGAAGGCAATCAAGAACGACAACAACATATCACACAGGAGACTGCCGTGGAGCAGCTGATTCAAACCATCTTTCTTCCATGGAGCAACTGGTGGTGGCTGTTGTTAGGTGCCACTGAGTCGACTATAACTCATAGCAACCTATGAACAAAAAAATCTGAACCCAGTCCTGTCCTGAGTCATCCTCATACTTCCTGACAAACAAGAGCCCATTGCATCGGTCACCATGTCAATCCACCTTGGCTAGGGTTTTCCTCTCCTTCACCGACCCTGTACCCTTCCCAACATCATGACCATCTCTAAGAAATAGCACACCCTAGTAACGTGGTGCAGCTGGTAGATTCAAACTATATAATCCAAGTTGACAGAGCAAATCATTACTACTAAGCCACCAGTAACTTAAATATTTTTACTCTCAGGTCCTTTCTTTCTCTAGTTCCCTGTATTTCTAAATTAATCTACTTAACAGAAAAACCATTCTTTTTCTATGTACTAGACACTTTTCTAAAATGTTTTATATGTGATATCTCATTTAATTTGTATAGCAACCCTGTGAGACTTGCACTATTACTGTCCCTATTTGATAACTGAAGAAGATGAGGCCAGATTAAATAATCTGCCAAACTGGTAACTGAGAAAACCAAGATTTAAGTATAATTTGTCTCAATCTCTGTCAGATTTGTAATCATTTTGCTACGTAGCCACAAAATATCGCTTCCTTAAACTATTTCTATTTCACTTATAAAGAAAAAATACCTTTCAAAACCCAGATGCCTCACTTTATGAGTACAACTTTTACCTTTCTCTTGACTTACTCACTCTATTTGTGCACTGTTGTTATGTACCATCGAGTCAGAACCGACTCACAGTTCATCCTCTGGCAGGTTTCAAGAGTCAGTTAATCATACAGGAGGAGACTGCTCATTCTCTCCTATGGAGTTGCTGCTAGCCTCAAACCACGTACCTCTGGCATTGCAGTGCATCTTCTTGCCACTAGACTCCATATCTACTTTACAGACTCTTGCAAGTAATTACCATGATTGGCATAGAATTAGCACTGGTGCTTATGCTCAATAAATAATATTGAAAGAACAAATGATTAAGTGACTCTTGTTCTGGGGTGGCCAAGGCTTAACATGACCTAGATAACTACCAAGCTCAGTTCTCTACTACCTTTGGGTTCATATGGTGGAGGAGGATTCACAATTATTGGCTCCATTTGTTATATAAGGATTACAGAATAAAAGATACTCAATTCTGAAATCCAGCTTTTTAAACACTTTAAATGTCCAAGTATCAGGAAGAAGTGAACAGAGCTTAAGAACATCACTGCAAGAAGATTAATCAGAACTGGCTTTGACAAGCACTGTGGCAACTGGACAATTAAAACAGACATTGGGGTGGAAGAAGAACGAACTGGGGGTGAGGGTGGAGAAAACAGTGCAACAATGAATGAATGGAAACCCAAAATCTCTGTAAATGTTTATGAAAATTAATAAAATATAATTATAGAAAAAAAAAAAAAGAACATCACTGCAAGCACAAACTAGGGAATCTTACTGTAAAACTAACGTTGTTGTTGTTATGTGCCGTCAAGTCGTTTCTGACTCATAGCGACCCTATGCACAACAGCCCTAAACCCTGCTCTATCCTGCGCCAACCGCATCGCCTCTGACACACCCATCCCGATTACCCCAGTCACTGAATCAATCCATCTCATAGAGAGTCTTCCCCTCCTGCGCTGTCCCTCCACCCTCCCAAGCAGGATGTCCCTCTCCAAGGACCCGTCCCTCCTGGCAACATGTCCAAAGTATGTCAGACGAAGCCCCAGAATCCTTGCCTCCAAGGAGTAGCTTGGTTTAATCCTCTCCAAGATGAATGTTTGTTTTCCTGGCAGTCCATGGTACATTCAGTACCCTTCTCCAGCACCACAGCTCAAAAGCATCCACTCTCCTTCTGTCCTCCCTAGTCATTGTCCAACTCTCTGATGCATAACAAGCGATTGCAAAGACCATGGCCTGTATCAGGCGCACCTTAGTCTCCAGAGAGACACTGTTGCTCCTGAGTACCTTTGAGAGGTCCCTAACAGCAGACTTTCCCATCGCGATACGCTTTTTGATTTCCTGACTGCTGGTACCAAGAGTGTTGACTGTGGAGCCGAGCAAACTGAAAACTAACATGCAGAAGCAAAAATGTTGCCAGTGGTTCCTAATTAAGGGGAGCATCCCCCTGACAGTGGTGAAAAGGGGAGATGTGGGTTAGAAGTGCTGGAGGAGCTGCTGCTACAAAGTTGCAGGCCTGAAACAAGGATGCTAACTGTCCAACAACACGAGACAGTCCCTGTGCTCTGCTAACTTTCCCTGATACCTGAGCCCATCTCGTCAGTTTGGCGCTCCTTCTCCTCTTCTCTCTTCTCATCTTCAGCCGTGAGAAGTGCTGACACTATATCATTAACTGATGTGTAATTCTCCCCAGTTGTTAGGATTTTACTCTGAACGGTCTGTTTTACCAGGCTTCTACTGAAGCCCATCTCCAAGGCAGCAGTAACCACAGGTGTATTCATCATGACTGCATCTTCTGAGGAACTTTCTCCTGGTCCAAAATGAATTACTGAAGGAAAAAAAAAACCAACAAAGAAGCAAAAAATAAAATTCTACAAATAGGAACCCATGGAGGGGGGGAGAAAATAACAACACTGTCTCTACTCTTAAAATGTTTGTATTGTGGCAGGGGAGATGAGTTCATGTGCCAATTACCTCTAACTCTAATAAAAGTTTGAAGTTGATATATAAGTCAAATGAGAGTATAACCAATATGTTGTACTTGTGAAAAATACCATTTCCCACTGATGTTAATAGCAGCATTATTCACAATAGCAAGAAATGTAAAGAGCCCAAATGTCCATTAACAAACAAATGGATTGAGAACTTATGGTGCATTCAGATGATGGAATACTATGCAGCACTCAGGAGTAAGGATTTAGAAAAATACCATATGAGAGAGGCTGGAGAGCATTATGCTGAGTGAATTAACTCAGTCTCATAAAGATAAATACTATATAATACCATTGTAAAAATAGAAGGATAACTAGTAAGATGTGCATACAAGTCCAAAAGGGGTGGGGAGGGTGGAGGAAGGATAAAGGTGGGGAATGGAGGGAAATCACAAGGTCACAGAGTTTGGGGGGCATAGGGAGGGGGGAATGATAGAATTAGGAAAGATCCAGCGAGAACCTGAAAAAGGTGGGGTAATTATGGATATGGATCAGTGATTACTTTTACAAAACAATATATAAGAATGATGTATGAAACATAGTGTGAATAGAGGAATGTGTGAAATACAATGTACATAAATGAAGCACAATATATATATGAATTTTGTATGCAAACCATATATAACATAAATAATTTTTAAAATATACCAAGTCCCAGGCTGTATCATAGACCTTCTTCTTAATGAGAAAGTCTACTGCCGGCAAGGAGTTTAAGAATTTTTATCTTCCACCAAATGCTCTGCTCGAGAAGGAGGAACAATGCCCTCCTGTACCAGTCAGATCTGATTTGACAGTACACACAAAAAATAATGAAATTAAAAAAAAATTTATATCTTTTCAAAAACTAAAATAATTTTCATGTATGGCTGCTTTTACATCATAAATTCTGAAGTGAGAAAGGATTTCTAGTTGGAACGGGGAACACTAAAGAAATGTGTTGTGGTATGAACAGAATCAGACAGGCAGATAGTTGATGCTAAAAGAAAAGAATAAAGATACAAAGTACAGTAAAATGGAAGACACATCTACACAAACAAACCAGAAAAAAAGATAAATACTGTTAAAGAAGTAAATTAAGACTTTAGTGACTGATGCTCTGAAGAAAACAAAGCTGTGTAAAGTGATCAAAAGAAAACTAGAAAGTAGGAAGGTAACCAGGATACGATAACCAGGGAAAAATAATTTCTGATAACAGGGTTGATTCTAGCCTATATGTAAATGTAAAGCCTACTTTTTGAAAAGTGTAAGACATCCCCATCCATATACTGCCATCTGCTGGAGGACATAAATACACCATGTCTACAATGTATATCCGCTCCCTTATTCAACCATGCAAAGGAGTCCTGGTGGTACAGTGGTTAAACACTTAATAGTCTGACCCCACTAGTTGTTACACAGGAAAAAGATGTTAGCATTCCCGCTTCTGCAAGATTTACAACATTGGAAACCCTTTGGTTTGGCTTAGTTTTGATTGGAATCTGAAGATATAATGCTATAAAAAGGCTTGAGTACTAAGAAACTATGAAAACATTTCCAAGAACTGTGTACCTAAAGAAAAAAAGCAAACATAAATTTATGGGGGAGGAAATGATGACAGATTCAAGAAACAAAATGGTTAAATGCCAAAACATGATGGCAGGAAATATCAGACCACACTGAGCTCTGTAAATCTGTATTCTATTGTTTGTAAGACTATTCAAGAAAGTTTAAACCAAGGAATTTACAAGATTAACCACAAGAACTACTAGAAAACAGTATGTGAAAGGAAGAAGCTAAGCGAAGACATTTCAAGAAAAATGAAGCATTCATCTGTGTCAAATGCTGTTAGCAAGTTGAAGATAGGGATCAGTGCATTTGGCAAGTAAAGACCCGTGACCCTGGCATGATCAGCTTGTTTTATTTCAGTGTTTTTGTGGAAATACGTTGGAGGAAATAAGTTTTCTTTAACTTAAGGTAAATAAGTAAAAGTCAGAGAAATCAAGGTATTTCGTGGATACAATTCAATGGGAATTAAAAGTTATAAAACACAATGTATGGGAATGATTGTATGCAACAAAATGTGAATGAAAGAAAGTGTGAAACACTATGTATATGAATTTTGTATGCAAACCAATTCATCAGGATTGGGCGAAGATCTATCAACAGTCTTTGTTATGCAGATGACACAACCCTGCTTGCTGAAACTGAGAAGGACCTGAAGTGTTTGTTGCAGAGGGTCAAGGACTGCAGCATTCAATATGGATTGAGGCTTAATGTCAAGACGACAAAGATTCTCACCACTGGGCCAACTGGCAGCATCAGGATGGATGGTGAAGAGATTGAGATTGTTCACAGCTTTAGTGTGCTTGGCCCCAGAGTCAACACTCTTCGTACCAGTAGCCAGGAAATTAAAAGGCGCATTGCCATGGGAAAGTCTGCTCTTAGGGACCTCCCCAAATTACTGAAGAGCAATGGTGTCACTCTGGTGACTAAGGTGCGTCTGATACAGGCCATGGTCTTTGCAATCACTTGTTATGTGTCAGAGAGTTGGATAATGACTAGGGAGGATAGAAGAATTATTGATGCCTTTGAGCTGTGGTGCTGGAGAAGAGTACTGAGCTATGGACTGCTAAGAAAACAAACAGATTCATCCTGGAGAGGGTTAAACCGGGCTGCTCCATGGAGGCAAGGATTCTGGAGCTTCGTCTGACATACTTTGGACATGCTGTAAGGAGGGACCAGTCCTTGGAGAGGGACATCAAGCTTGGGAGAGTGGAGGGACAGCACAGGAGGGAAAGACCCTCTATGAGGTGGATTGATTCAGTGACTGGGGTAATAGGGGTGGGTGTGTCGGAGACGGTGAGATTGGCACAGGACAGAGCAGGGTTTAGGGATATTGTACATAGGGTCGCTATGAGTCACAAGTGACTAGATAGCACATAACCAACAATGAAATGGCACAACAGCTAGATAGCGATGTACATTCAGGAAAAGGTTTCTAGTGACATTACATTTGTGTGGTGAAATGAATGCTATAAGAGAGAGGAAAAAACGTCTCATAAGGGGTAGACTATTATCAAAGCAAAGGTCTTGAAGTGGAACTAGAAGACCCAGGAGGCAAGTGGAAGGCTTGGCCTTAGAGAACAACAAAGATAGGTGATGTTATAAAAGAAAACAATGTATATGGATACATTATGTAAACCAACTGTGGAGTTTATTCTTCAATCTGACTTTCCTAGCTATCATCTGACTTCGCCATGTAGATGGGCAGGAAAATGTGAATAAGGCTTATCAGCCTATCTACAAGGGTATTGGCTTGTCTTATCAATCCACAAGAGGACAGGCTAGTCTCGCCATTAAACTAAACAACCCCACAGCAACAATCCTGCATCAGAGTAAAAAAAAAAAAATGTAGCAAGAGAATGTATGATGCTCTTCAACACCACACAGTCTTGTGTGAGAGCTGCAGCAGCCATGGCCAAACTAGAGACCTGATGTGAGATGGGACCTTGGGACTGCTTGGAACCAGAGCTAAGAACCTTTGTCCAAGTTTATTGACAACTGGAGGTGGGTGGCCATAATTTGCAGGACTGAGAACTTTGTAACACTGGTCTAAAGCCATGAGGCTCAAGGTCGAGGCGTCTGAGTGCACATTTCAGAAGCTGTTCTGACTGTATTCTGCTACTAATCTGGATTATAACATTTTTAATTCCCCAATATAGTTCTGTGTGGTCTGTGAGCTATTGCATTAGATTCTGGACACAGCAAAGTAGTAAGATTGGTGCTGAAACAGTAGAAAGAGGTAGGGGAGCATGAGACACATGTCTGACCTCATGGGAATTGGTTTTGTGTTACTGACATTGTTGATGGGGACAGTTCCCCTTTGTGAGGTTGGTGTTACTGACATTGTTGATGGGGACAGTTCCCCTTTGTGAAGTTGGTAAAGGTAATAAAGAGCAGTCAACAAAGTTGTCTTTCTTCTCCAGTTTTATAACACAGGAGGTAATTTTCAGGTACCCATATAATATTTTTCTTTTCCAGGTCAAATACTAACAAATTTTACCTTAGCTAAAGTTTCTAGGGTCTTATACATCCTTATTACCCATTTCTGATTCTGCTAAAAATTTGCCAATACGCCTCTCAAAATGGTATTGGGGGGTGGGGGGTGGGGGAGAAATGGTATGCGAAGACTAAAGAGCCCTTTCAAGATACAGTTCATGATTAGCCTTCACTATTTTAGACACTATAACATAACTTCATTATATGCAGTAATTAATGACAGCTGTGACTAAAAGTACATTCTAACCAGAAAACAATTTCTAATTTTATAAAAATACTAAACTGTTGTTAGTGGCCATCAATTTGGTTCCCATTTCATGGAGATCTCCTGTGTCTTAAGAGTAGAACTGCCCAATAACTTGCCTAAATTCTTTACAGATGCAGCTCATCAGGCTTATCTTCTTCAGGGCAAGTCTGTGAGTTCAAACCTTTAGGTTAGCAGTACACTCAAACGTTTTGTGTGCCAAGTAAGCACCTTACATACCTACACACATTACCTGACCAAAATATCAAATCAAAATATCAAATATCTAGGCCAATTCTTAACCCAAATGTGAAGTAGGTCTTTCCTGTATCATGTAAAACTCACACAAACTTACTTGGATGGCTGATTATTTGCATCACTTATTTGGCATTAATTTGAACTCTTTATTGTTTTTCTTTTACAGGTGTCTTATTTCTCAATTCAAATGCCCACGCTTTTTAAAAACACAGTCTTATTACACTTCTTAACTCATTGCTGTTGAATAATTTCTAATCCTGGAGGACAGAGTAATACTGCTGCATAGGCTCTCTATATAAATCTTTCATAGACCAGCTGATGGGTTCAAACCTTTGGTTAGCAGCTGGGCTCTTAATAACTATGACACCAGTATTTCTCTTACACTTCTTAAATGTCCCCTAAAACATGAAATTACTCAGTGGATACCTTTTGTTATTGGGTGCTGGAAGATGTCAGCCAGTGATGCTACAAGACATAGTAGAATGGCACCAAAGGGTTTCCATCTTTGCACAAATGAACGTGTCATACAGCACAACTGGTGGGTGAGCATCCAAGTGCTTAAGCATAGCCCCATCAGGGTTCCCCAGTAGATAATCTTAACAGTAAACTTCTAAGCACTTTCCTCTGGCCTCCGAAATGCTTCCTTTACAGTCTTAATAACCTTATAATCGTAATAATTTCAGTTTTAATATTCTTATAAAAATTCCTAGGTGATACATTAAATATTTTCATACATACTTGGTGGTTCAGCACTTTCATCTGCAGGAGGGTCTGAAGTTGACAACAACTATAAAGCAGGAGATAAGTCAACAGGTAAAATCAAAATCTCAAACAAGTGAACATAGTAACATTAACTTTGCCTTCATTAATAGTTTTTTTGAAAGGTGAGTAATACATAAAGTTACTTTCAACATCTCTTATTTTTCCCTAAACTTCACCTACTTCCAAATTAGAATGCAAGTTTCTATAGTGTCACTGGCAAAGTAGAAAAACCATATATTCTTATTCAACATAGAAAGTCAGAGTTCAACTATTCTCCATTGTTTCTAATTCCTAAAAAGTTACTTATTAAATGTTTTCCTAAAAAATATGGAGACACTAGGAGCTCTGGTGGTCTAGTAGCAAAAAGCTGCATCACAATCCCAGAGGTACACAGTTTGAATCTGTCAGATGCTCTGCTTGAGAAGGATGGGCAATCTCCTCCTATACCAGTCAGATCCAATTTGATGGTACACACACACATGAAATAATAAAATTATAAAAAAATATGGAAACACTAAAGATGCTTCTCTAACCCCACAATAAGTTTGCAAACTGGCATATTCAGAAATTTTTTTTTAAAAAACCAAAGGGTTTTTTTTTAAAGTTCAAAAAGTTGGCTACAAAATTAATACAGCTATCAAGTATGCAGATATAAATATTAATCCCCATAATTTTTTCTAATTATCATTTAGGGAGTCTAATGTTAATTATTTACTACTACTTATTAATGCTAATTCATTTACCTGTTCAAGAAGATGAGGATATCTAGCTTGAATCTCATCAACAAACTCCTGCCCCTTCATGCGTATCAAGAACTCACATCTAGAACATAAGAGCAAAACTGTTTCTAATTCTTTTCTATAACATATAACTAGATCATTCTAGAAGAGTGGTTGTGTAACTTTTAAAACTCTGTTACACATAAAACACATTATACACATATATATTTAATGGAAATAAAATTCCTACAGTACTACTACTATGTGGGATATATTCTGATATTATCTTTCCAGTTTCATTAACACAGTAACAACAACAACAACAAGAAAGCAGAGGTCCACTAAGGTTTATAAACTGAGTCACAAGAAATATTGCTCTAGACACTTAACAGGGAGCTCTGGTGGCACAGTCCAAAAACTAGGAGAAAGACTGCAAAACCTTTCTGATAAAGGATTTGTACTCAGTCTATTATGTAAAAATTTAGTCTGTCAAAGATACTCAAAACTTCAAACATTATCTAGCCTACCCACTGATGTTACAGATCAAGAAAGAGAACCAAAGGGAGATGAGTGACCTGTCCAAGTTCATCTAACTACTTCGTAACAAAGAGAAGTTTCATTTTAAATTTCATTTTCACCAACAGCCTGTTAAAATAATTCCTAGGTTATACCACAAAATAGGAGGCACTGCTCAAGACAGGGTGGCTAAAAGGTTGTTCATGGCATGTCACAGAAAGTAAACGTTACACACAAAACATTCACAATCATAGTCAAACTTCACAATCAGGTAAGATTTAGTATCTGTGTATTTGCTTCATTCCTAAACTGATTTTAAGTCCTTCCCTTGTTTTCCTTGATCCTTCTTAACCATTTTCTATTTTACTTATCCTTTATTTTTACTTATCTTTGTAATCCTAATTCTCTTTAAAATGGGGGCGGGACCTTGCCTTCAAGTCGATGGTGACTCATAAGCCCATGAATTGCACAGCAGGATTTCCTTGATTGTACTCTGCAGAGGCTGTTTAACAGGCCCTTTTTCCAGGAAGCCACTGGGTGGGTTCCAGTTGTCAAACTCAGGTGGTTGTTGAATACAATAGTGTCAGAAATGACCCATAGCTGACCCTCCAAGTGGGTTTTCAAAGGCAGTAAATCACACAGGAGAAGATTGCCCGTCATTCTCCTATGGAGCAACTGGTGGCCTCAGTGGGCCTTCAGAATCACTGCGCTGCTTCTTGTACGTCTGCAACCCATAAAATCATATGCGCCATGCACACCCGTGTTTATCGTGGCTTTGTTCACAGCAGCAAGGAGTTGGAAACAACCTAAGTGCCCATCAACAAACAAATGGGTAGAGAAGCTGTGGTATATTCACACAATGGAATACTATGCTGCATTGAAAAACAAGGAACTCATGTAATATTATTCAAAATGGGTGACCCTGGAGGACATTATGCTGAGTGAAGTATCTCAGTCACAAAAGGACAAATACTGCATGGTGCCCCTGTTGTAAAACAGGATTGACATCAGGGTTGGGGGGAGACTGAGAAAGATGGGATAAATAACGCTTACTGCATTGAAACAGATGAGGGAGAAAACTGTTTAAAAGGGATATGTGATTAGGTACTTTTGTCATGACAGGAGTCCAGAACAAAGGCTGCACAGTGGAGTGGACCTAGGGGGAGGAAGTACAACAATGAAAGAATTTTTCCTTTACTTTTCAAAGAGAAGAGTGTACTTGGGGGATTGGGTGGGCAGGGAGAAAAGTGCAACAATGAATGAATGGAAATCCAAAGTCTCTATACATTTTCATTGAAATTAATAATAAAAAAATTAAGACCTAGTTAAAACAAAACAAAAAACCCCATATGCACCCCACAGGCACAAGATGGGAAATATATAAATGAAATATATTGATATAATTGAAGGCAGCTCTGGTGATCTAATAGGTAAAGTGTTATACTGCCAACCCAAATGCAGGCAGTTCAAAACTACCATCTGCTCCATAGGAAAAAGATGGGCAATCTTCTCTAGTGAGGTTGACAGCCCCAAAAACCCACTGGAGGGTCAGCTATGAGTCAGTTATGACTCAATGGCACATATAAGCAGTAATTACATCCTTGAATCACCAAGAATAAGTCAAATTACATTCTAAGTAAACGGCTTACCAGAGAAAGATACATACTTTCTTAACCACTTCTCAATAAAAAAAAAAAAAATTCTGCCCTATAAAACACTAATTCAACAAGGAATTAAAACAGCTCTGTTATAATGGAAATGCAAACTTCCCACACGTGGGTTCATCTACTTCTTTCATGCACAATTGTGTCGCAGAACCTTGTGGAACAATTACCTTGGGAACCACTTGGCGTGCTCTAACCACGGATCATCTCCAGATTCCCAACACCTCAAGCCACCATCACAACAAAAGCATTTGACATCATCGTTGCGACCTAAAGAAATTAAAGACCAAAACTGAATAGATGTATGGTTTAGCACATAGGTCGAAATGAATTCAGATAAATGGATAGCTCCCTGCCGAGTTTCTTTCTTACCTACATAATAAAAGCCAGCACTTGCAAGTTGCCCTGGCTGAACTGGAACACTAGATGGCCAGTGCAGAAACGTTCTCAGTCTGGCCTCACGTGTCTGCATGCTCAGATTTGAAACACTAAGCCTCGGCGTTTCTAGAGAATTTTCCAGAAACGGACAGTTGGGAAAATGTCTCCGGTGTTCTGACATGGCATCATCCTTTGGTTCCCAGTTACTCAGTTTCCCACCACAGGCAAAGCAGGCTACCCTATCACCAGGCCCTATATAATAAAAGCCAGCTCTTGCCAAGTCCAATGGTGACAAAAAGGTTAATGGCCATGTCTTGTAAGAAAGAAATCTAGCTTCTTCAGTACTCATTGCATAACTGTAGGGGTTAGTCTTCAAAGGGGCGAGGTCTTCCACTGCTCTGGAATCCATCGGGTTTGGTGATAGAGTAAAGCAAGAATCACTAAATGAGCCACTATGATCCAGCATGGGGGATAATGGAGGTGCCAGAGTGTTTCTCACTGGAGACAAATTCTTGGAGGTGGATCCCACACCGGTCACTGAAATGAGATTTTGAATAAAGCTACAGCTAGGATACAGCTGTTTGTGCTTTTCAATAGCATTGTCTCCTTGTTTCCAATTATCCAGCATTAGGCCACAGCAGAAGCATTTGACCTTGTCATTGACACCAGTGTAATAAAACCCAGCACGAGCAAGACTCCTTTCTGAGATGGGAACTCCAGCAGGGAATGTCGAATATGTAGACATTCTGTAGAGTTCACATGAGAAGTCATATCTCATTTGCTGTTTGTTGGTGTTTGTCCAACTTGACAAGATCTTGCTATTTTCCATTGTATTCGTAAATTTGTGTTGATAAGGATTTGGAACCAGTCTTTGGAAGGTAGTTTTATGCATCAAAAGGTGATTTTACTTTTAGATGGCTAGAAACCTTCATATGAAACTTCTCTTCAAACTCATCTGTATTTTTATCACAAAAAAGAATCAAATGATAACTTCCTAGTTATCGCATTCAAAGCACCTTCCTTAATTATACCTAACTACACACTCAGGCATCCCACTTGCTGCCTTAGGTTACCAATACTAGTCAGAGCTGTTTAGGACTATCTTAAATCTTTTAGATCACTTAAGTATTAACTACTGATAATTCAAGTACTATTTACTCATACTAATCTAAAAACTGGTCTGAAATAAGTTGATGTATTTCTGAAAATGTTTTTTAAAAGTCCTGACTTTTCAAGGAGGTTTACATTCTAAACATTTTAAGGCAATTAACTATAGAATACTAAAATATGTCCTTAATTTGCTTCTGATTATGAGCTATGAAGCCTAGAAACAGTGGGCCAGGTGGGGGGAAATAACATTCAGCCTTCTTTCCCTATAAGAATTTTAATAGGACATCAAAAAAAGCTTGCATCCAAGTAAATGAATTAAAGGCTTCATATAATCACATTCTCTTAAAAACTAATTTCACATAGGATATCATCATTGTGTTAAGTGGGCTGCTGGCTTCAGTAACAAGTTTTGGGGACGCCAACATTTACACAGCTTTATGGTGTACATAATATCAAACAGAACAAATTATGCTTAAAGGTCACCAATTATTAACTACTTCATGTGTGTTAAATATTTTCTATACGTTTTTATTTCCTACAGCATCAGTATGCTCTCTTTCACATTAATATGACATACCATTTTATATACTAGATTAATATAAATTCTTTCTTTCACACACTTAACTACTTAGCCAGAAAATTTCCAAGCAGCAATGTTTTACATTGCCTTCAAAATTAAGTAAGCTGTCATTAAGGATCATGCACATTAAGGATCATGCATCTGTTTTATAATTAATGATGAGTAAATTCATCAAAAGAAACTGTCTTTTCAAGTGTTATCACAAATGTCTAATAAAATATTACCAACATAATTACTGTTTATGCATAATGTAACAGAAATCAATCCTATGAGCCTTCTTTCTCAAAATGCTTCATATTTTAAACACATAATTCATACACAAAATTACACTTCACAAAATTTAAACTATATTCTTTTATAACGCTTCTGGGTTTCCATAATGGGGTTTAACACTGCTGGGGGGAAAATGAAGCAGACAGACTCTTCAAAGGTGTATAATCTGCAAAGAAAAAGCAAGACTGTTTTAGAAAACTTTATTTTCACGGCAAATAGAATGACAAACTCTCATTTATTCAGTAATATCTCAAGAAGGATTTACACTTTTTTTTTTTTTTTATGCGTGTACCGTCAAATTGGATCTGACTGGTACAGGAGGCGACTGTTCCTCCTTCTTCAGCAGAGCATCTGGTGGATTTAAACCGTGCACTTCTGGGATTACAGTGCAGTTTCCTGCCACTAGGCCACCAGAGCTCACCAGGATTTACACTTTAAACATCTTAGCTCCAGCAATTTGAAACCAAAACTTTATGATTTAGGAGAGCTCTTGACTGAAATAAATAAATGAAATATATATTTATAGGGAGCTCTGTTGACCTAGAGAACTCTGGCAGCTTAACCAACCCAAAGGCAGACAAAAGTTTTGTAAACTCGCTGGAGGATCGGTCAGCTATGGGTCTAACTTGAAGGCACATAACAACAGCAAAAATTGTCAGCCTGGCAGGTAAGGAGTTAAGGCAGACAGTTTGAATCCATCAGCTGTTTTTGCAGGAGATATAGGTATTTACTGCCTCTAAAAACCTGCTGGAGGGTCAGCTATGGGTCCAATCCAACTTGAAAGTACATTAACAACAGTTAACAACTGCTGGGCTGGTGGGTAAGTGGTTATGGTGCCAACCCAAAGGCAGACAGTTTGAATATATCAGCTCTCTAGCAGGAGAAAGATGGTAAAACTCCTCCCACTCTATTCACAACCTCTGAAGGTTGATGTGGGGTCAGCTGAGTCTGTTCCTAGTCCATGCCAATAAGAACCAGCAGCATTATTTACATATGCCAGAAAAAGGTGAAGTTTTGAAGGCAGAGTTTGTCTTTGGCCTCTTTTGATGACAACTTTTAACAGGTTCCGGATACATATATTTCTCAGGGTTTTGCTGAAGGCAAAAGGAGGTTGTATGGATCACAGCAGTAAATAGGCACAAAGGTTCTTTTGTCACTGTTAAGCCTCTCTAGGACTATAATCTATAAACCACCTAACTAGTTGTAACTGACTCATTGTTGACCCTACCTCATTGGAAATGACTCATAGCTGCCCCTCCAGCAGGCTTTTTGGAGGCAGCAAACCGCACTGGCGGAATGCAGTGGAACACATGCTTTGGGTTGACAGGGCAACTCTTACCACTAAGTCTCTCTGGTCTAGTAAGAGTAAAAAGCATCAGGAGTGCATTACATCAGACCTACAAACTCAAACTGTAAGCTTCCCAAAACAACAACGACGACAATAAGGGAATAATAAGAGAACACAAAAGTCTGTGTAACATGGGCTTTGAGAACGGCTCTTCCCAAGCATGTATTAATTGTACCAGGTATCACATACATAAAATGACAGCTTTTTATGTAAGAGCTCACTTTGCTCTTTATGCAAACACTGGGCGAGGGTAAGCAATAGGAAGGGCAAAGAGGAGAAACTGGAATTTACCCATTAGTTTCCCAGAGTTAATTTTTACAACATACAACAGGCTGTATAACAAGAAGCAGGACGCAAATGGACAAAATGAAATAAATAGGCGATCTCGTTGTCACAGAGCTTTCTTTTAAAAATACCAAAGTAAAGAAATACCGAAAAGCAAATATAAAACCTCGTAAAAACTCTAAGAGGGAGGAGAAAAAAAAAATCTGTCAAAGTTCAAAGGCCGGGGCAAGTGGGCGGCAGCCAGATTACGCAGAAAAACAAGTTGACTTTTAAAAATATTCTTTTTTTTCGACTTACAAGTCTCAAAAACTGGACTTTGGCATGAAATAAAAGTCGCGGAGAGAGCAAAGAGCACGATTGAGGACCCTCGGCCGTGGGGCCCCAGCCCCCGTCCCCTCGCTCGGCTGCAGCTTCGGAGCCGGAGCCCCGCCGCCCCGCGCCCCAGCCCGCCCCGTGCCGCCGGGAGGGAGCCGCACTCACCGCCTGCCGGCGCAGCAGCGACGAAGCGGCGTGGCTGCACACCGGCTGCCGGTGGCCCCCTTAGCCTGATGAACGGCCGAACCTCCAGGCCGCACCGAGGGCCAGTGCACTGCAACGAAAACCCGAACCGAAACGGCGCCGGCGCCGACGCACTGTGACGTCAGCGCGCCTGGCTGAGGGCCCGCGTCAACCGGCGCCTGGGGGCTCTGGGCCCTGGGCCGCCAGAGAGGGAGCAAACTCTGTTCTCCTCCCGGAGGGCGGCGCCTCGGGACGGGACGCGGCGGCACCCGGCTGTGGGCGCCCGGCTGGTGCTCTGCGATTCGCCCCCGGGGAGAAGCTGGACTCCTCACAGCAGCTCGCTGTTTGGCTTTTTAATCTCCGCGTTTACTCACCGTGGACATTTCCCTAACCTTCTCTTGAGCGGGGACGTGGCAAAACCCTGAGCTGTTGCGTTTGAGTTTTGGGAAGCCCTGCGGAAACGCCCGGGTGGCGGTGGTTTTGCGCCTCTTCCCCCAGGTCACCCTGAGCTCCCTTCGGCCGCTGGCGAAATTCCACCGGAGTGACGCCCGCGCGGGGTGCTTGCCCGCTCGGAGATAGAGTCACCCGGCGGCATTTTTGCTTCTATTAAATAAACATTTGTAATCAGGTTTTTTTTCCAGAGGGCGACTGCGGGCACATTGTGATCTTTTGTGGATTACAACAGTCAACAACAGAATAAAAGAAGAATGCGACGTTCTGGGAAGTTAGAACAGCTTTCATTTTAAATTTTGTTCCTTGTAAAATTTGGTTTCAGAAACTAACTTGCAGTATCATTTCAGATGGTCATTGTTAGCAACGGGAACTGGGTTTTTGTTTGGGTTTTTTAAATATTTAGGATGTGTGTAGTCCATGAGTGATACTGTCAAAGCAGTGGCCACAGGACCCCAGGACTGCATTCTCTGAGGCTCCAAGGAGCCCCGGCGCTGTGCGGGGTTGGGGATCGGGGTGGGGGGACTGTCCGGGGCTGCCAACAAGCCTTCGTGGGATAGAGAAGTGTCAGTCTGATTCCATAAAGATTACAGCCTTCGAACCCTCAGAGGCAATTCTATTTTTTCTTTGATACTGGTTTCTTTATACAGTTCATTGTTTTTCATACGGGATCCTTCCCATTTACTTCACCCACCCTCCCTATTTTTTCTTAAAGGTTCATTGTCAGTTGAAGTTAGAGTAACAAGTTAGTTTCAGTTAGTCATTTTGCGTCTGTCCCTGTATTTGTGTATTTATAAACATATATGTGCACATATGTTTGTGTCTGTGTCTATGTATGGACCATTTATACATATTAGATGATAGATGCATAGATGTTAATACATACATATAGAAACAAAGATATATATGAGTCGCAGGTGACTAGATGGCACATTACAACAACATAGATAAATGACCATACATATATAGATAAATATTTATACACACAAACTCTATGTGTGTGTGTGTGTAGAACTCTGGTAGCCTAGTAGTAAGAAACTGTGCTGCAAATCCAAGACATGAGGTCCGAATCCTCCAGCTGCTCTTCGGGAGGACGGGCAATCTCCTCCGTGGAATTAACTACCTCTAAAAACCCACCGGAGGGTCAACTATGGGTCAGTTCTGACTTGACGCCACACAACAACAAAGTGTGTGTGTGTGTGTGTGTGTGTGTGTGTAATTGTCAAAGACAATTACAGGTTGGCTATGGAGAGGACAAGATTCAGAGACATTGTTCATAGGGTCGCTATGAGTCATGGTCAACTCGAAGGCACATAACAAATATGTATTAACATAGAGAAGGGAGAGTCTTTAGGAGACACAAACCATTAAATGCTCAACTACTCGCTTAAAGATTTGCTCACAGTACAAACACACCCAAAGTCACTTTGAAAGACCAGCCTGGC